ATTTCAGTGGCAACCGAGTTTGTGGACACGGACTGGGAAGAAGAGGATGAAATCATTAGCGACGAGGAGGACAACTCGCCTCGTATAAGTCTGCAGTCGGTATGTGTCCCACAGAGAAAGTCGATCGACCTCGATAAGAACTAACAGACATATTTAGGCTGGACAACCTAGTTTCACAACAGTTTCTTCCTACGATGAGGTTCCGACGCCAAGATCGAGTAGAAGCCAAGAAGTTCCGCTTGATTATTCCCCGAAGCAGGTGGAAGGCCCTCGAGGGCCTCACCTTTTTCGGAACTCGACTGACCAATACTCTGCCACCGAAGAGGATATCATTTTGACATTATCACCCATCACTCCCAAGGGACCTCGGAACATTGCGGACTTTCTCATGACATCCCAGCCACCACCGCCCCGAGCCAGTCCTTTCCAGTACACTGATGCGGAACTGGACACGACAACTCTGGCATCATGGTCCACTGAGATGGTTGCGCAGGCTATGCTCAATGCTGGCGTTGAGCTGTCCGTGGCAGACCGATTTATGGAGAATGATATCAGCGGTGCAATTCTGATAACGCTTAAATTTGAAGATCTCAAGGAGCTTAACATCCAATCGTTTGGTATCAGGACCAAAGTCTGGCATCAAATCCAAGCTCTCAGAGACAGCAGACCTGCATCACCTCGCCCGGAAACACCAATTGAAGATGTTCCAAGCAAAGAAGTTGTCAGAGAAGCGCGAAGAGGGGAAGAAGGTGGTCTCAAGCGTCGCCAGAGCAGCAAGCGACGTCAGCGTGCAAGGACAAATGGAGACGATATTACTCCCATGGAGTCAGTGTCTATCATCGGTATTGAACAAGTTATCCCAAAGCCCCATCACTGTTCCAAGGGGGAGAACTGTTCCAAGTTCAGAAAGCAACAACAGCTTATCAAAGCATTCAAGAAAGAATATCCACATGTGGATATTAATGCCACTGGTACCGTCATGGTTGGAGATGCTGGCAACCCTGAGACGGCCAAGGCATTGGACCCTAACAAGGTCCGCCCCGTATCGGACGCTGTACCTTCTGTTGTCGCCTCCTCGGATGTCATGGGTCCTGGCATGCCTCCTCTCCAGTACCTTTACGAGGCATCTCTCCGTGGCGTTCAGTCAAGAGATCCTCAAGATAATGTCAGACAATTCCTTAGCTTTCAGCACCAACAGCAGGGAGACTGCAGCGCCGAGGTGCCTCCCACACCTCCATTTGATGGTATGCCAACCGCACAGGCCCAGCTTCCTCACCAAGGCCTGCGCCGACTACCTAAACTGTCCATCCCTGGGAAACCTCAGCTTCCCCCGTCCCGTCTTGGTGCTTCTTCAGTGCCTCCCCCTCAGAAGAAGCCCACGCAGTCATTTGCTCAACATCAACAGCAATTGCAACAGCAACACCAGCCCGCCTTTGTCCCTTACCAGATGGAGAAGACCAGCCCTCGATCTCCTGATCTGGAGATGACACCCAGGAACAGCTTCCGCCATGGTACACCATTTTCGGAGCTTGATGTTCCCATTACAGCTGTACCCATTGGCCCAGTGGCTCGAGATTTCTCCCAATCTGTGCCCCCTGACATGAACTACCGCACATCTCCAACTAACAATGTCTCCCCTCCTCGCTGCCAGTCTCGCACTTCAGCCCGCCGCCCATCTTTCCCTGTGATGCCCGCTCTGGAGGAGAACAAGCCTGTTCTCGTTAGCCGCCCTTCCCAGGGATCCTCCTCACCCCAGTCCCCACGAGGTTCACGATCTCGGCAGCCTCTTCAGCCACCCCCTCGCGACAACTTGCCTTTTTCCCGTGGCCAGCTTAATGGCTCTGAGAAGGTCCTGGCACCAACGATCACACCTCTCGGTGCCAAGGGCAAGTCTCCCTCTGCTGACCCTGCCAATGGCATCAGCCACCAAGGCCCAATGAAGAAGCGCAAGACAAAGATGCTTCGGCATGAGTGGCAGGACGGTTACTTTACTCTTAAGGGTACGCGTCTCAATATGCACAAGGATGCCGAGGAGCTCGGCCGGACCCTTGAGTATGTGGACATTGACGATTACGCAATTGCCTGCTCAAGTGTTGCATCCTCTTCAAAGCTCACTGCTGCTTTCAAGACGATGCATCTTTCTCGTGGAAGCCACAGCCGCGAGAAGAGCGACCCCGTTGGTGCCTTTGCTTTCCAGCTCATCCCTCAAGAGAAGAACACTGCCCGCCTTCGTAAGCGTGAGAGCCATCTTCAACCTGCTGGCGCCATTCCCGCAGAAGGTGTCAATGGCACAGGCAAGACGCATCACTTTGCTGTCAAGAACCGAGATGACCGCATCGACTGGATGCGAGAGCTTATGCTCGCAAAGGCGCTCAGACAAAAGGGCGAGGGTTTTGAGATCAGCGTTAATGGAAACATGATCTAAACCACCACATCCGCCACTTTTCTATCACTTACCAAAACTCTACTCTGCGTTGATTTCATTTCGATACCGTTGACCGGTTCCCCCTCATTGATGGTTATTGGGACTCGGTTTTTTCTCTTTGTACTGGTGTTGTTGTGTCTTTTTACATGCCAGAACGTACAACCACTATGCGATACTTGCTGCGGCTCTCTCGCGGGATGCTTACACAGCGGATGAATGTTAGCTCGAGATGAGCAATGATGTCTTTTTGGGTACTGGAATTTGCATACTCAGGATGTTCTCTTGATCGATAGGCCATTGCTCGAGGGGAACGAGCTGCCTTCGTTTTATACCATTCGCACACGACTCTAGAAAACTCAACACTGCACAGCCCACTCCCTTAAATTTCTTTACTTCACGAAGGATGACGCAGATACCACACAGCGCTTGTTGATTTTTTACTTCATATAGGTAGCTCGGGCTAGCTTTTTAGGATAGGAAAAGAAAATGACATGATGAATTTCAATATTGTCCTTGAAGCTATGTGATGTTAATGTCTTTCTGGAAACTTATTGTTAAGTCTTATATGGGGTCGGTATTATAAGTCTTTGTCACGGTCTCTCCTCTTCATGAGCTATATGGACAGGACCTGTGATGCAAGATTGGCTGATTAGGAGTAGAAGAATATTGCCTTCAACATGAATTGTTATTGCAGGAGGGTGTGTTTGGCAACGAAACCAAATGTATCACTTCGGCGCTCTTAGGCATATATACACGTATACATATAATTTGCCTATCAGCAATAACTTTCACCCTTGAGTCCTTCTGATATTTACCCTTGGTGGCATCCAGTTGTGAGGTTTGTGATACATTCAAGTCGGCCAATAGTGCTCAACATCCTGATATAATTTCATCTTACTAGCTCGATCGTCACATACGGCCACAGCTCGTGTAGAATACGGGGTCCCGTCTGCTCCCCCATCGTCAAGCCACGAAGCGCCGGATTAGTAGTTGGGTCGGTGACGACCAGCGAACACCTGGTGTTGTATGTCTTTTTGGTGTTTATACCTTTTTGCTGTCCACTATCACGAGGTACGCTATATACCAGAACTAGCGGATGGCAACATACCTGGGTAACCAAACCATCTCCCAGGCGTCTCATGAGCAAGATATAGGATGTAAGAGACGCACTGAGACGTCAAATGGTACATTTTCCCCACCTGTATATGCAGAGTACAATATCTTACAGAATTCGCTTCCCTTATCCCTTTGTCTCTATCCAATGCCGTAACATCGTGTCCTAACTATACATCCTGTCTAGGCGCTGTCATGTGTCATATTTCTGCTTACGCAGACTTGAAGCCAGGTCGCAGCACTCCCGACTTCTGAGCCACCTTCTCCCAATCGATCAACTTCCACCATGACTCGGCGAAAGCAGCCTTTCCACCCTGGCCACCAGCCCCTACACCCCAATCCAACAGCCATGCGTGCTCCCAGGTGTTTAGACACAGAAGAGGCTCCAGCTCGACACCACCTGGGGGAAGATCGCTGTTTCGCTTGTTGGCACCGAACGCCTGGTTGTGCATGAAAGTGCGGGCAGAGCCATCCTTGCCCACGGCGTTCATATCGGTGGTCTGGGCGCGCCAGTGAGCGCCGGGGTAGGGAGATCCGGCGAGGTAGGTGGGCAGAAGACGGTAGTCGCCGGGACCAGCCTTGACGAGCCAGAGGAAGCCCGGACCGAACATGGCGGAGGCAGTGATGATGAATTCGCGGCGGAGGGTCTCGATGGAGGAGAATGAGGCTTCTAGTTCGCTGCGGAGGGCGTCGGGCATGGGGGTTCCTTCTGGTGCGATGCCTTGGAAGAAGAAGTGGTTGTTGTGCGCCATGGAAGCATAGTTGAAGATTGGGGCCTGGTTAGGCTCGCGGGCTGTCATGAGAGCGATTGTTTTTGTGTCCTTATCCTCGAGCTCAGTGCCTGGAAATTGGCATGTCAGTAAATGTTGAATTGGTATATAATTCAACGTCAAATTGGGGAACAATATGGTTCAATGCTGTCCTAGAACATCAATGCCACACATACCAACAGTCAAAGCATTCAGTTTCTCCACCGTCAGCTTCATGTATTCAGTCCAAGCGATCGAGAAACCTCCAGGGCTCATGAGGTTAGGAACACCCTCAGAATAGTCGTGCGGCAGTTGAGGAACATGATGGATAGATCGGCGGGCATTGACTGTTGAGCGCAGGCCGAGGCCAAATGCGGATCTAGGGACCCTTAATATCGGACGAAGCATTGTGTGAAGGGAAGATCGACGGTATTAGGGGAGCTAGTCGGCGTGGAAGGACCGTGGACGTCGTCGACTTGGATTGTACTTTTTTTGGTGTTGATAGCCGCCGCCTGAGGTTTCTTCACGGAGCTAAGTTGAGCCGAAGATGAACCAGGACGCCACAAGACGGGGAAATGTATATGTGGCTGAGTCTTAATCCGCGGGCCAAGACTACCTACCTTAAACCAGACTGACTCTGGACTTTGGTCTGGCGGGGAAAAACAGACAAGGGAGTGGCTGTGTTGAAGAGTCTAGATTGAATTTGGGCTTAGCTCCAGTCTAATCTGAGAACGACCAGCAGCAGGAGCCGAATATCCATGACCACGCTCAGGCTCAGGCTTAGTCTTGGAGAAGTCTAGGCGTCGATATTCATGATCAGTCCCATCAGTCACAAGCGCCTCGTTCTCCGTTTTGACTTTCCTCCCCCTTTCATTTTGTCTCCATTCGTCATCTTCTTTTTGGTCTTTCTTTTTGCTATCGTTATACCAAGATAAATACAAGTTTCATCTCTTGACAAGTTTTGTAAGAGTTTTGCTCTCAACAACTCTCATTCGTCTCTTTCTTCGCCCCCGTTGGACCCTTTTGGCTGTCCTGAAACATCACCACTTCTCCTCTCTACTGAGACATTCGACATCATAATCGATCAAACGTCCACGTACACATGCAACCTCCGTCGAACCTCGAAGATATACCAGTCGCCGTCGATGATGCTTCTTCCTTGATTCTCGCCCAATCTTCAACAGTTCTAGAGATGGCTACCTCAGTTATCGCCTCGGCCGCCTCCATGGCTTCCTCCACAGCCGCATCCGCAACCTTCATCGCGTCCGGAGCACCACAGTCATACGACGAAGACGATTCCAATGGGGAGTGCTCGTTACTGGGCTCCTTCGCGCTGCTTGTACAAGGCGCACTTGGTGCTCTGGCTCTACTCTCCCTCGTCTATAAGCGGTGGCGGGAACGACCTCAACGACCTCTCAAGATTTGGTTCTTCGACGTGTCAAAGCAGGTTTTTGGTTCTGTGCTCGTCCACATCGCCAACATCTTCATGTCCATGTTGACGAGCGGTCGATTCTCGGTCCAGGTCGACCCTTCAGCAACATCCATGACAAGACGATCCGATGACGACAACTACGCCCCGAACCCATGCTCTTTCTATCTTCTCAACCTCGCGATAGATGCAAGTATCAGCCTATGCTGTGATTCACACCCCAGATTTGCTAACATCTATAGACCACTCTCGGTATCCCCATACTCATCATTCTCCTAAAGATCCTCACAGGTCTCGTTCGTTTCACACCCGTCGGCCAACCCCCCGAATCTGTTCAGTCTGGCAACTACGGTACGCCGCCCAATGCCTGGTGGTGGTTAAAACAATCAGTCATTTATTTCTGTGGCCTTTTTGGCATGAAGATCTGCGTGCTCATCATCTTCATAATGATGCCTTGGATCTCAAAAGCTGGCGATTGGGCTCTTGGCTGGACCGAGGGCAATGAGAAGCTTCAGATCGCGTTTGTCATGATGATCTTCCCCCTCATCATGAACGCCCTCCAATACTATATCATCGACTCGTTCATCAAGCTCAAAGAGACCAACCACGAAAGCCATGGCAACGAATCTGATGACGAAGGCCGCCGCAGGAGGTACGACGACAGCGAGGACGAGACTTCACGTGTCAGACTTGTCGATTCAGAGCACGAGACTGACAGTGAGTCCGATGACGATGACGATAAGCATGTCACGCGTCCCACTCATTCCACGCAACCCAAAGGCAGAGACTCTGGAGAGTATGATCCCGAGCGCGACGGTGACGATCGCACAATCATAGGAAGCAGTGCGAGCGCCCGTGGTCCTCAGGATAAGGTTCCCCAAGAGCTATATCCCAAGGAGTAGAAGAGGTTACATAAGCTTTGGACAGGCCTGTCTGTTTTGTTTCAAGTTTTCTCGAGTTTTCTGGTAGTATGGGTCTTTTACAAACAATCTGTACTGGTTTCGAGTCGTGGCGTCTTACCAGCGAATGGAGATATACTATATTGCAAATACTGGTGGTTCTTTGTCGGCATTCAGTGGCAGTCAGGCTCACGGCGTAAATAGGAGCCTGGGGCGTTTTCAGGTGGGATTACACTTCGGGATTAGAAGCGACTTCAAATCAAACTTCACAAAGCCTCATGGGCGAGGATCATTATTGTTTAGCAAACTCATCATCTAAATGAATGGCTAAGTCTTGGCTATAACGCCAAGCTTGCATGAAGCTGAACAGAGTTTCATCACGTAGGCGAGAAGTCCTTGTGTCGTAGCCAAGTGGTGCATTCAAGCCATCTTTCTACAGGCTGACGAGACAAATCCGTATCATGGGGCCCTCCAAAAATATAACATGAGTATCCAGACCCAAATTCTAAAGAAAAGTTCGACCGAAGTTCTCCCCAGAAACGCCCACGCATAAAAACTTAGTAAAGTAGTAACAAAATGCCGGAAACAACTCCGTATATCCATGAAATACTCAGAAAAACATAGCCATATGCCTTTTCTTTCGTTCACCTCCAAAGTGTCATAAATCCACCGCTTAAGGCTGGTATGGCTTGAAACCTGGGTATGGCTCTTGCGGAGAGTGGGACTCTGGCATGTGTTGCCGCTGCTGAACAGGATTTGCACCATAGCTCGCCTCGGGACCAGGAGGCGGTGTTCGATAATCGTTCATAGGCGCTGGAGACTGGCGAGGTGGCTGAGCGTAGCCGAAATCGTTTTGGGGGCCGGGTGATTGACGAACGGGTGATCCATAACCATAGTCTTCTGGTATAGCTGGAGAACGACGAGGAGGAAGCTGTCCATAAGTACCAAATTCATCTTGATGCATTGAAGCTCGCTTGGCGAAACTGGCAGGCCGCGGCGGAGGAGTTCCTCGGTATCCGCTATAAGTTGCGGCATAATCGTTGGGGGAAGTGGCCTGGCCGTAGCCTTGTTGCCCGTAGCCCTGCATCTGCCCGTAGCCTTGGGGTTGTTCGAATCCTTGATCATGGCCGTAGCCTTGGTTGCCGTATCCATTGGTGTTCAAGGCTGGGGAGCGACGTTCATGTGGCATCGGTGCGACAGCAGCGGCATTGCTGTACATGGGGTTCATGCCGGGGGCTTGATAGCCGTAACCCTGCTGGTCGATAGGTGAATAGGCATCGGGAGCTTGGTTAGCGCCCAGGTAGCCGCTTGAATTACTCTGTGCCTGGCTGTAGGGAGTCAGATTGTTCGGCGCAACTCCCCCCATCATGTTGCTTTGCTGACTATGAGGTGGCTTCGAAGGTAGAGTGTCAAGCTCAACGGCCTCTGTGTGGACCTCGACCTTTTTGCTGCTAGCACCCTCCCAGCTGGGCATTTCAGGGAGGGCGTCATCGTCTCTGCCTTTACTCGTTTCGAATTCTGCATACTGAGGTGGCTCGGATCGCATGGGCTTTGTGACGCCGTACTGAGGCGCTGATGAATTCATTGGGGGTTCACTTCGGTATCCATGATGCTGACCTTGGGGAGCATAAGGGTCATCCAAATGCTTCGTAGCACTGCGTGGAGGGTCACAAGCACCGCAGCAGTTACCGCAGCACTTCAGGCACTGGCAGCAGCTACAACAACATGAAAGACCACAGCAGCAGCAGCGAATAATACACCAAACAATACTGAAAATGATAAGACCTCCGATGATCATCACACCAATTACTGGCCACCTGGGTCAAGTTAGCAAACAAGGCCTGTAAGTAGCGAAGGATATACGCACTTGCACCACGCCACGTTCATACAGTTGTCCCAGCTAGAGAAAGCGGTTGCGAAGTCTTCTGATTTCTGTGCAACCTCATCGGTTGTTTGCGCTGCATCGGCTAACATGTCTCGTCGTGAAAGGTCGGCTACAATTGTCCGGACAAACTTGTCTTTGACCACCTCCCAGGCACTGCCCCGAAGGCTCCGCGCCATGGCCTCGTCAATGGAGGGCATTTTACTGATGTGTCCCAGTTCAAGATGGAGCTGGTAATGAGTGAAATAAATTCGAAAAGATCGAGAAAGATATAATGAATGTGGTGTTGCGTATTTTGCTCGAGGTTTCGGGTATAATACTACTTGGTTGCATGGGCAAGTTGATAATGCTTGAACTGAGTTCGGGGATGTTGATCGAGAAACGGTCAAAAAGTCAAAACACGATGTTATTGAGACAACGACGTATGCTGTATCTTCTTTCAGCGCGTGTCAATATTGAAGCGGGTCGCTAATCGAATGTTGGAATGAAGGACGGCGGTCCAGCAGAAGAGGACTGTGGATGAAGAACAAGAGCGGCGCTCGCACCGTCAGTACAAGAGAATGTTTTGAAGAAATAACCAAGAGAGTGTAGATGACCTATACGAGGTTAAAGAGAGGCTTAAGAAACGACAGCCACATCAGCATTGTCGTTCGTGTTGGTGTAGAGAATAAAGTACAACCTAAGCCTAGAAGTCAAAGAGAAGGGAAGAAAGCAACGGCGGAGCTGGAGTTAGAGGCGCCCGCCAGGTGGAGCGGCCTGGCCACTAGGGACAGGGAGACGCTGAAAGGTCCAGAATTACCGCGAGTGGCGGGGATGATCCAGGGGAAACGGGACCGCTAATGGTTCAATTTGCCCCTGATCGATAAAACATCCCTGTCAGAAGAGTTCTGAAACTGTGAAACTCGACAGGATTGTCGCTTGGATATCCATTCGTGGGGGCGGACAGTTCACTTCGGTCTGAGAGTGGACTCGGCGAAGAGAGCAGAGTCGATTCCGCGTTTAGAGAATATGTACAGTACGCCCATTGCATTGAATATGAACTTTGTTGTAATCTGACTTTGAATCCATCCAATACGGGCTTTCAACAGCTGACTTTGACAGTTGAAGGGGTGATGACGACTCCATGGCTTGACACTTAGCCCTAGCCTTTATAGGACCGACATCGGGTGATTGAACGAATATTCGCGGAGAATGCTGTAAAGAGAATGGTTAACGGCATGCCTGGGAAATTGAGAGTAGCAAGATAGGCAAGTCGATGAGTTGACGATCTTTGTTGTATGTAACTTATGGAGTATCGCCTGGTGGCATTCTACCATAGATCAACGTGCGAGGTCAAAGAACAATGTCCAGCTACTTCTCAAACACAAACGAGTCTTTATTCCTTGAATCATGCGCGATAAAAGCCATGAAATCATCACCAGTATCAAAGACGCCATACCGTTGTTAGCCCTTCTGCCAGAAGCTCAGCCCTGGTCCTGATGCGGGCCACAGGGGCTTCTTCCATTTCCGAAATGACAGGGTCGTCTCGATTGCCGGACGATCCTGTCGCAGAGTTGAAGTGGAAAATTGAGGGTTTTGAAATGATTTCGTCATTTATCGGTGTCAGATTTCAACGGCTGGAGAGTATTGGAATTGGTGGTAAAATGTAAGATGGTCCATGGGTATCGAGGCACACTCTCTGCAAGGTGTGTACATTGGACCAGGCTCTCGGGACTTGGCGTAGAAAATATCAAAGAGCCAAGGCTTGGGTTCCTTTTGTTATGATTGCGATGTGCAGCACTGCCTTTATACACGAATGAATTCGGCATTATTGTATTGGCCAAAGAGATATTCAGATCGTCGTCCACTGCTACCATGAGGCGGTATGCATAACCCAACGAATGGTATACTGCAAATTTGTTTCTTCCCACCTTTATCATGTTTCATGCAGGTCCCGTCAACGGCTGTGGCGTTGATGTCGAATTATCTATGCATACGTTCAAATTCACCTAATAGTATGGGGCTGTTGTTCTTGAATTCAGTTCATTCATCAATATCATGCCCTTGAAGTCACGACAGATCTGCTGAAACGTTATCAGCAACGCGTCACAAACATAGTTATCTAACTATTTCGATAAATACTTGCTAGAGAGAAGACTAGAATCGATTAGGGAAAAAATAATTCTCGTAATTCCACCCAGGCCATGCTCGCGAGAGTAATGCCTCTTATCACAGTATGTCTTGACGTAAGTCCATTCATTACATAGCGAGCTCCCAAACGCCTCAATCGGTGGTATCCTTTCCATATCGGCCGTGTTTTAAACCCGTTCCCATTCCAAACGCACCCATCGCCGTGCTTTACTTTCCAGGAGGAGGACCCGCAGGTGGGGAGTAAGCACCATCACGCTGATATGTACCCTGTGGTTGCTGAACTCCGGAATACTGGCCCTGGCCGTAGTACCCGTCGTTGGTGTTGAATGTCGTACCGGTGTACTGAGGCTGCTGTTGCTGGCCGTATGCTGGGGGTGGAGGTGGAGCTCCGTAACCACCGTTGTTCTGCTGGTAGCCCTGATTATAACCGCCTTGGTTGCCGTAGTTGTACATCTGATGGTTGTTGTTGTTGTTTCCCCAAGGCTTGGCCGCCATCCATCCAGTGCCGTACACGGGCTTAACGCCACGGCGTTTGCGACGGCGAGAGAATCTTGATGTGTTAGTAAGATACTTCAAACGGCAATGAGAGTGCAACTACTTACAGGCAGCAGAAGAGGAAGAGGACGAAGAAAAAGATGACGATGCCCGCTAACACCCAGCGCCCCCAGTAGGACCAGTTGTTACGAACACATCGTCGTCCATTCCAATTCCACCCATAAGAGCATCTGTAGTAGTCGCGCGCAAAAACATCTTCAGTGGGCGCCATTGTGATTATGAAGATGCGCGATGTGTATACGCGACGATGATGAAGTAGAGTTGAAGAGCGTTCAATTGGCAAACTCTGTTTTTGACGTGTTGTTTGCGGCGCTGAGTCGCTCGGCTATGACGTAGAATGTGTGTGATGGTGTTCCCAGGGAGGTGACGTCTTTATCTGATAGGTTGTGTATAAGATCTGTTACAGTAGGTGATTGACGATTAGACCAGGCCGTCAAAGGGTGTAAGAAAAAACAGGATAATAGGTGTTTTTTTTTGGGCTATTCCAAGTTCCACACGAATGAGAGAAGGGAAGACAAGAGAGTGGGAGGAGGGCCCTTTATGCATAGTGCAACTCAAACGACGAAGCCAAGAGAAGAGAAGAATCATGATATCCACCCAAGCTTGGCCTAGAGCCTAAAGTTGCCTGCGTAACTCTAACAAAACGCGGTCACAAGCCTCTTCTTGGTCTCGAGTGTTTCCACTTTTGTCTCGTCTTGGCCAACATGGTGTGTTCTTGGCTATCAAACGAGGTTTAATGCTATTGCGCTGCGTGGTCGATAGTGGCTGTGCGTAAAGATACAGTAGCAGTTGAGCGCTTGGCGCTTACATCACGGTAACCTTCATATCTGCCGTGATTCCCGCTATACAATCATACCATGCTACGTTCAAGGGTGATATACAGGTTTGAGGAGTGAATCAAGACCGTCATCAATACGCAGCGTATTTCGCGTATCAATTGATAACCAGTCCCTTTGGTTCGTAAATGGTAGCGGAAAGGTCTGTACTTCACCGGCAAGTTTGGACCGAGATCATCACCTGTCCAAGACTGCTAAGCCTCAAGTCTTCGCGGCCAAATTCCAATTCCTCGTTGATGTGGCGAAGCCAATGAATGACGTGTTTCCACCCTTAGCTACTCCATCATTTCGTTGATGATTGATCTGCTTCATAAACCACATTCTAGAACGTCATAAGCGACTTGTAAAAGGACCTGCATGAGTATTCTGGACTCTTTATGTAAGTTTTCCAAATGCCAAGCAAGAATCAACCCAAACTCTCGGACCCGGCATATCCCAAAAGCTCAGCTTATAGACCCTCCAAAGACCCGTCTTGGAGCTCCATGTTAGTTCGGCCTACGGCAATTAAGCTTATTAATAATCTATGCTGTGCTTTCTGAAATGGCTAAGAGTTAAATCAACTTTCGACAGTATATATGATCCTCGCATGCATAGAGGCATTAGGCCAAGAGGCTCAAATGATGCAAGAAATGATGCCATGTCTAGAGAGTGATCGAAGGCGCGGCATGCTTATGATAATTTGAAGGAGTCGGACTATTCGAGAATATAGAAACCGCTTTCATTCTCCCATGGTCTACATACATGGTTTGGTGCCATCTTGGTCCCCCAAAGTGCGAAAACAACAACATCCGCTCCGATTATCCAAGCGCATCGTATTAATGTCAGCAGTTCCAATCGTTAAAACATATCAGGGTTGTCTTCAACCTTGCTCTTCAGAACAGGATCGATTTCATCGCACCGACGGCATATACTTTTGTGTCCCAAACGCCGTCAAAGAAATCACCCCGCAAACACCAATCAGATATTACCCAGCGCCTGTCCTTTCGTAACGAGCCCGTGATCCGTCGTGAGGAGATACAAGGAAATCGTAAGGGTCATTCGCTTCAGAGGCCGGCTCTTGGGAAAGAGTAGCGTTGTCGTCGGAGTTCGTCCGCTGCCTTCATGTTGCGTTCCGCGGCCTGTTGAGCTTGTTGTCGCGCTGCTATCGCGTTGACCTTCTCTCGAGCTCTGAGCAGACTGCTGTTATCCTGCTGCTTGATCTTGGAGCGAATGTCGTATAGTTGCATGAGTGTGCCTGCTCTCTCCAGGTCTTCTTCGAACTGTACAGCAGTTCTGTCAGTGCCCAAGTCCCAGCTTCGCCTTTGAGACGACGGTTGGGGGGGTTGCCTCACATCAGATTCGCCTCGGCGAGGAGTTCCAGGGCTAGAGTTTACAGCTGAACCGGAGTGGGAACCGGGAGAGAGAATGCGGCGGCCGAATTTGTCGAATTTCTCCGACGACCAATGCCGCTGTAAGCCTGTGGGACGTCGTTGTTGATTCGTAGTAGGACTCGAGGTAGGGGCAGTTGCGGCTGCAGTCACTTCGACTCTTGTGTAACTAGAGTTGGAGGGGTTGTTGGCGCTGACGATGGCCTCTGCGGCTCCCGGATCCTGACACACGAGATACGTTAGTCTCGACTGCACAGATGAACACGTAGCAGAAAGGAGCTCAAGGTTAAATGTGGACACATACGGCGGCGCCGATATTGCTGAGGTCGGCAAGAACCTGGGATAGTTGAAGGCTCTCCATTGCTCGCGCTGGAAGAAGTGGTTTGTGTGTTGCTAGAGGTGACTGCGATGATGGGTATCAGTTATTATAATGCTTCCTATCGAAAACATAGGAAGTCAAAGGAAGAAATTCAGGTCTGTTAGGAAGAGAGTTTGCGTGGAAATGAGGTCAGAGGAGGGTTGGAGGGGAAGGTGTTTTTTTAACTGTATTGAAGGTTGCTCCTGGGCCTGGTTTGGCTTGCTTTGCGGTGGGCGAATTTTGGGTTTCGGAGGGCAGGCAGCCGCAGATCCATCCACAGCGCCTGCCGTGCGTGTGCCAAGCGACAGGGGGCGAGCCAAATCAGTGTGGAGGGACAGGAAAACAAACTGATATCTACAGTCGCTCACTCACGCTCAATGTATACATAGTATCGCATTCATTAATATCAAATGTAGTAGGTACGAGTAGGTTCTTCATTGATTCTTTGAGAGATCTATCAAGGTGGACAGGAAGACAACGTTGCTCCAGTAGTATCAGAATGAAGCTTCTCGATTATGCTGAGAAATAAGAATTAGTGAAGCAAAACACCACTACCACCACAGTACAGTCCATGATTGGCCAGGTTTATGCTTCCAAAAGTCCAGAGCTCCAGCACTGCATCTATCGTGCATAAGATAGCCGGTCACCCCCGGCTGCAGTGGGATCTTGTCGAGCGGTAGTGGAGGGTAGCGGGGGGCTAAATGCCCAAAATTACAGGTGTCAATAAGCCAAGTCTGGGGTTTGCTCCTCCCCCACACTTTCACTAATCTTCCGGCATCGAGAGTCACGAGCTCGAAAAGCCATGTCTGACAATGGGAAAAGCTAACTACACAAAGAACCGTCAAAACAAGTAAAACTCACCGCTTCTCTCAGTTCAATCATGCAGAATAAGGCTGACATGAACGCCAGGATCGATCGGACAAAGCATATCACTATTGATGTTCTGATCATCGCTGTTCTCCGATGTTAATGAAATGGTGGGTGAAGGTCTTTACCTTATTTACCCCGAAGTGCCAGAGGGGGCCTCTCATGGTTGCGTTGCATTCCATCAAGCGGCGAAAATTGTCGCCCAATATTGGATCAAAATTCACCGTGCACTCCGGACAGGGGGAGGATTGCCATCATCAACAATCAGCCTCTGCTATCATCACTACGGACCGACGGAGCCTGTTTTCAGGTTCGCCGGCCTCTAGTCACTAGAAACTCTCGTTAGAGGGTCCAGTTTGTCCGTCTGCCCTATCGCCTCGTCTTACCAGTAGTTTGCATGTATACTCATTCTCATATACGTCATTGTGAATGACATCCTTCTCAGTATCCTGTGTTAGACTCCTGACTAAATCACAACCATCATGATCATTTAAACAACTCCCATCCGAGTACATCCGATTTCGGGCCACATGATCAAACTTCTGATACAATGAATTGACTCCGTATTTTCCAGGGTATCGGCCCTGTCGATACTTGCAGCTTTTGACGCATGCAACCCTCCATAGAACTGGTCGAGTGGGATTCCCCGCACTGTCGACGCGTGAGCTTCCAAGCCCATAGGGAGACTTGTCTGAGCCTATCTTTAGGAACTGATTCATCCTCAATCCATGATACTATATGGACGAGGATCATAAGAAAAGCCAGAGTAGTTGTTGAGAGTCATAAAACCTTTCAGCAAGTCATGTTAATAAATACGGTTCATGCGGAGTATATTCAAGATTCGTCCCAAGCCCCAGTGCACATCATCAATAATACCCAGGTTCAACAGGCATTTTCAGTCTTCAATCCGGAGCACAATCCTGACTTTCCCATTCATACGGTAAGTTGGCTAGATTCCCTATGCTACTATAGGGTTGGTACAAGGTGGAGCTGACATCCAATTCATTCTCATCCTCGAGGCGCCCCTATTGTCGATCTGGGGATTATCATTTTCCAGCCACCAAGAACCCCGAGAGTCCTCCGAACTTCAAGCGTAAGGGCTTTACTACGTAGACTACTTTCCACCCAGGACATAGACCAGGAATTTAGGGAAACACTCGAAAAGGCATGCTTCAGGACTGATGTCATTCGTCTCGACTGCGATGTTGACCCCTTGCTTTCATTTGTTTTGACAGCGGATCGTGGCACCGGTCCACCGATTCTTCAGACCCACCCCCGCATACCCCATAGCCTCCGAGATCCGGCCCCACACAGATCTACAAGTATGCCCCGGTTCGGGCTTGCAAAGCTGTTCTAGACTGAGGGCCTGAATGAGACCCAACTTCTGATAAGTTCCTTAGGCTGTCGTATATCTCATGCGGCTCTTCGCTGGAGATGATCAGTTGGGGTCAAAGAAAGCAAGACTCTGGTACTTAATATTTACACCATGATTAAAGAATACAATGTTTAATCCGCAATAGCCCTGCCCTCTAGGCCTTAGGAATAGTGTTTCCACTACAAGCTATAGACTATGAACAAGGATTCACCTCTCACAAGTTGTCTATAACTAACCATCTATTTAACCTTTTCGTACACGATTAGAAATATCATTAAATACTGTACCATTTATTAAGATGGTTGACTTTACGCTGTTTTATTGGAGACAAACATCATCTTCCATCTTATGGATATCTGGCTGTGAAAACCGGCAAGACTACCAAGGCTTATCAACCCCCCTTTCTTTGAACTACGAGACTCAGCTCAAATTCTACAACCGACTTTCATAAGCAAGATTCTACAAGATTTGATGATGTCACTGACCCAAAATGTCTGTAAGATATGACAATTCAGTCTTTCATCTTTGGAATTTGAGGGCATGTTGGTTGGTACTCCTCGATGCTTACATAAACAAATTCCCTCTGGTGCTTTACCAGATGCCACCTTTTTACTACATCTATATTATAATATTTATAAAGAGATTATGCTAAACTTTCGTAAACTTAGTAGGGATAATTCTAGAATTCCCTAAAGTGTTATAAATCTATAATTAAACTTCACAAGATTAGTAGAAGCCTGACGTTAACCATGTCCTCATTGAGTTAATTCATAATTGTATTCAAAGTTTCTTCAAAGAGAACTATTCATAGGTCATCTCAACACGCCAATCCCATAGTTTTAGGGTTCTTCCTGCCTGATATCCATAAGTGTCATTAAACCCAATCTTTTATTTCCTTGCGCAACCATCTCAGGCCTTCTCGATTCGGCACACGAGATCAGAACCATCAACAGAATCACCCTCACGGACTTGAAGGTTTGAAACCTTTCCGCT